TCAAAATGGTCCAAAAAATATCGAATCTGTTCGGGTATGATAATTTTGATTCACATTGGTCTCTTGTATACAACTAAAATATGGCAGTGGTTGATCATTTTCAATCTAACGAATATATTATTTTTATGTAGATTATTTCTCCAATCAAATTAGAATGGGATATCGGAGTTTCATCAAGAACACTTCCATTAAAAAGACGTTCATTAAAGTTTTAACGAAGTTCCTGAGTCTTCGATGACTCTGCTTTCATTCAAATTTTTAATGAATTTTTTATGTCATCAAAACATTTTAATGAAACTGTCACAGTCACCTTGCAAGAGGGAGTCATTTTAATGAAAGTTAGGTGAACAAAATATAAGTTAAACAACCGAAAACAGATAGAAGCGGGGAAAAATGATGTACATATCGCGTAGAGATACATGTAGGAAGTGACACAGGTATCTGTTGCTAAGCGATACCTTATTTCTTTGATTTTTGATACAAACATACAAATCCTTCTTTTCTATATGATTCGAGAAATAGTTGGTATTGCTTAGCGACAGGTTCATTTTTATTTATGTGAAAATTATTAGTTTTCCAACCATTTTTCTCATCTACTGCTTAGCGAAATACGAATTGCCAAGCAAAATATTCCATACGTGTACATCTACTGCTTAGCATTTAATCATTTAGTTAGTGAATGTGTCACTTTCATGCTACAAGATACTAGGATCATCAGATACAAGTTCTTCTTACAAACAGCATATAATTGCATTTTAATGAAACTTCCTGTGTGTTCAATGACTCTGGATTTTCATTAAAATTTTTAATAAAGTTGTTCTGCCGTCGAAAAATTTTAATATAACTCTTGTGCCATCAAAATCATTTTAATGGAACTCCTGTTAAAAGTTTTTTAATGAAAGTTCCGGTATTTTCAATAAAAACACGCTTTAATGAAAGTTTTTTAATGAAAGTCACCCAACCCATTAGAATAGCCTTCAGCATTCAGATTCAAATATTTTTCTTTATTGATACTCAGTGCAAATGATTAAGGATAAGAAACAAGTGTCATCAGTTTAAAATATTACGACGTATAACACTAAAAAAAATAATCAGTGGATTAGCTCCTTTGTATCTTACTTCTCACGTAACTATTCGATAACCGAATACCACGCTTACGGAGTAATCATAGAATTATGATTGTGGCAGATAAAAGTACAGATAAAGATTTCTTTTCAACTGTTGCATCTGAGTGGAATAGTCTGATACGAAATGATGAAAGTCTATTGACAATGAAAATAATAAAATTACGAGAAGTATTGGAAAAACAGTATTCGGTCACAGATATTTTCCCAAGCGCCTAAAATTCGCTACAAGACGTGATGAAGTTAATTTATGCGAATGAAAGTAAATTATCCTCCTCTAAATTACTATTTGTTTCGTCGTAAGCGTGTAGATTCGCCTATTTGTAGTTGTGGAGATGGAAACAAAAATATCAAACATTATGTTTTTCAATGTACATTATATAATAATGAGAGACAAGATCTATTTCAAAAATTATTGTTTCTAAATACTGTAACGGTCGGTACCTTATTGTTGGAGAATTTAGACCTGGATATTGACGTTTTAACTTGTAATGGACGCGGTAACCGGCTACCTTCAGAATACTAAAAGATTTCATAGCTAGCAGCACAGTGCTTCTCACTCTTTTTCGTGGCGTCCGCGTCTTTTTCGTGGCGTTTAAATTGTTAAACAGAGACTGCCACGAGATTCAGCGTAGCCGATAACCCTTGTCTAGAGTCATTTGTGAGGTTCCCACGTGTGAGAAATGACCAGTTCTGGAACTCCCAGGAAATTCGACGCCCGGCCTAAGCGATCGAAAATCAGAGTCTCGCTTGACTCCCATTTTGACGAGGACACTTTGGACTACCTATCCATGAAAAAAAGTGAGATCATTTGTATTTCAAGTTTTTGAGCAATGACCTGGCTGGAAACTCCGGAACGGTAAGCCTTGGAGACAAAAAATTGTTTCATTCCCGTAACTCATTAAGCCAAACATTTATGGAAAGTTTGGTCAAGATCGGATGTACGGTGTCCGAGATAATTTCTGAGGGGGCCCTTAAGAGTATTCCTCGGCCTCTTTTTATTAAGATTTCGATTTTTGAGTTAAATATACCATAATATACAGTTAAGTGTCCTCTGCATAGTGAGAGGCCTCACAATCCCTTACGATGTTTCCTTTCCGAGTTACGCATCTTTTAAGATAGATCATCGGAGATCCAACATCATCATGATGAATTTAAATCTCCGGTAACCCATCTTAAAAAATGCGTAACTCGAAAAGGAAACATCGTAGGGAGTCGTGAGGCCTCTCACTATACAGAGAACACTTAACTGTATATTATGGTATATTTAACTCAAAAATCGAAATCTTAATAAAAAGAGGGCGAGGAATACTCATAAACAAATTCACGTTTCTATTTAATACCACGGAGAAGGAAAATTATTTTTACAAAGTTTGATCAGTCTTGTGTATTAATTACTTTTATATGTAGTAATCATCAAAAATATCTGCTCCTTCGAACAGCGTATGAATCAAATCTTTAGCATTAACAGTAAAAAAGATCTTCCTGACTCACACTCTCCGCTATTGCAAAAATGCCTGACATAATAAAACAAAAAGGCAAAAATTATCGGTTAAACATCATACATTCTTTATATACTCTTTTTCTATCACCACTTTCTTCTATCGATTGTCACTTAGTTAAATTCCAGATTTGAACAAAAGAAAAACGACGAAACATTCATAAACTTTGATTTACAGATTACAAAAGACAAATGGCAAGTATTATGAATTTCGAAGAGATCATAATGACCATTAACCAACAAAAAATGTTTAATAAAATTAAACCAAAATTTTGTGCTTTTTTTTCTCACTGGGAAAGTTGACAACATTCGTAAATCATGTAATTATTTTAACGCAAAAAGACCTTTTGGTATTACCAGTAACTTTCTTTATGACGCTAATAAAATTTAATCGAGACACCCTCAGGACTCGATAAAATACTGAGATAAAGTCGTATTTACGCTCCCAGGGCAATAATGCTTGATTGTAATATATTCTATATACTTGTAAAGTTCACAGATTCATTCAGATTTTATGAAGTATTTTATAGAATCTTGAAGAGAAATCCAAGGTTATCTCGATTAAATGTTATTAGGCCCATAAAGAAAGATACTGGTAATACTAAAAGAAAAGTTTCGAAAAAATGTCAATATTAAGCAAAGCACATTATTGGATAGCCCACGATGTCTGCTGTCATAATCTTCATCCACGGTTTCTCCGGGTTTTTCAGAAAGTCTTTAGGAAGCGCTAAAAAACTGTCATTTCTACTAACTGTGTGTTATCAATACAAATTCGAGAGAAAAAGTAGTTCTAAGGTGACCAGTTTGTATAGCTTTTTTTCTGAAACTGAATACAAGGGAAGGAAAAATACTATTTTCATCGAATATCTGTCCGCAAGGAAGACAGACAGCTTTATACAAAAATGATTTTGTTTCGTGTTTTTACATTCTCTCTGATTATTTTGCTTTTAACGTTCTCATACTAGATTTACTCGAGACTTTTGGTTGATGCTATACAAAGAGGACAAGACAAGTATGGTCAGTAAATCGCTAACACTTCATCTAACTATCACGAGCCAGAGAGAAAGTCGGAAAAAGACATGATGATCAAAAAGAGTTTATCTAACTCCCGAGTGTAAAAAAGAAAAGTATGAGTTTTGAAACGTTAATTATCAATATTGAGGCCACATATCTTAAAAACTAAAAGGAATCTTTTTCTGGAAAATACATCAATATACAGTACAACTTGTGTATGTCGCAGGAGAAATTAAAATTCAGGAAAATTTAAATTTTATTTTCTCCTAGGCGAAATTAAATTTGTAACTTTTCCTTGAAAAAATCTAGGAAAAGATGAAATTTTACTTTGTCCTAGACCAAATTAAAATTTTAACTTTTCCTTAGAGAAATTTTAAATTTTCCTAAACAAAAATGTTAAAGTTAATATTTTAATTATTCCTATAGGAAAAATTGAAATTTCTTTTGATGTCGGACTGACTAGACGGAGAGAAAGAAGGAGGCAAAACTTATGCACTTTTTTTCTCAACTATTCGGTCTGTAGTTTATTTTTGTCTATAGATAAACCTGAAATGTAGAAATTATCTACAAAGTGGAAGTGAAAAGTAAGATGAGAACTAAGCATTTGAACATGTTTTTTTTTAATGGGATGACATTTTGTACCGCACTGTGCTTTTGCTGCTCGACAGGAACATTTCTTAGTTGCACAGTTGCCGTTGCAATTACATGCTTCGACAGGTGTCATTAATCCTGCGCTGGCATAATCTTTACTAGCTCGAATGAAGGTAGTCATTGGTAATGCTGTTGAGTCGATATCGCGCAAATCACGGAAGTCACATTTGGTTAAATCCAATAAATCTAATCCTTGAAATCGTTTGTCGAGTATTGCTTTTGTAGTACATAGTTGATACATTTCCATACCATTCGAAGACGCTTGAACTGAGATTATTTTACAGGGAAGAACTTTCGGTGTGACATTGGTCCTATCGACTTTATCAATTTTCAGTCCGACTAAATCACCGACTTTGTACTTCTGCAGACGCAGCGCATCATCGAACAGTTTTTGTCGCTTAGCAATGGTGGCCATGTAAGCGGCTTCCGCTTGAGCTCGTATATGCTTGTGACCACTTATTGAAGGACTGCTATGACTCATAGATTCGTCACCTGAAGAAATATATCAGAAGAGTTTCTATCAGGATGCTACACTCTATTTTACCTTCACTGATATGTTCATTTTGTTCAGAAACTGAATGACGTTAAACTGGACCTGAGATATTTGAAAAAATTCTTGCTCTTCGTCGATTTTTGGATTTAGGCGTTAGAGTCAGTACTGACGAGGATGGTACTGCTAAACTTAAATATAATGCTTGAGGTGTTGGATCTGTCGCTTTTAAAACATTTGTTAGACTATTAACTATCGCTCTACTTTGCAGATCTTTGATACTACTTGAATTGGATTCATCAGATTTTTCATCAATCTCGGGTTCATGTAAATTTACTAAAATATAACAGGTATACGTCTGCAAAGCCTGACCCCAGACAGCAATAACTCACGTTCATTCAGTTCATCGATAAAGTCATCTGGAAGTTGGTCTTCATCTTTTACTTGACTGATGAAAACAATATTTAGTTATGTGGATGATTTTTGTTTCCTTCTTTCTCTCCGTCTAGTCAGTCCGACATCAAAAGAAATTTCAATTTTTCCTATAGGAATAATTAAAATATTAACTTTAACATTTTTGTTTAGGAAAATTTAAAATTTCTCTAAGGAAAAGTTAAAATTTTAATTTGGTCTAGGACAAAGTAAAATTTCATCTTTTCCTAGATTTTTTCAAGGAAAAGTTACAAATTTAATTTCGCCTAGGAGAAAATAAAATTTAAATTTTCCTGAATTTTAATTTCTCCTGCGACATGTACTTCAAAGTGGTATAAAACGTGGAAATGGATCCTTTCTACTTAACTTAATTTTAATTCAAGAAGTTGGAGGAATACAGAATAAATTCATCGCTTCTTCCAAACATAGAAGAAATGAACATCTCGACAAAACGATACAAATTTTTCCTTTTCTTATTTTTCTCTTTAAGAAAAATAACGTAAGGTACACATATGTACGAGGAAATCAGAAAAATATATGAAGCGGAAGGAAAATAAGATTAAAGTAAAGAAAAGTAAGCGAAGTGTATTTTCTGGCTACAAACACTAAAAATTGCAATTTTATTGATCTTTTTGTTGGAAAGCTATAAAATAGCTTCCCATCAGGACGAACATTTATTGTGTCAGTTGGGATAAAAAGTAGAAAGGGATAATATCTAATTAATTCATTTTACTTCGTGAAACTGACAGAGTATCGGCTAAACTCATATTGTTTACCGTTGTTTGGAAAGCTCCGGGATAACAGAAAAGGTTTTCTTTTCGTGCTTTGTCCCATAGTCTATTGACGTGTGTATAAAAGAAAAATGCAAAAGGATAGTATCAAAAGAAAGGAAAATGTAAGCGGTACGTTTGATCTATATAGTTGAACTCTCATTTCTTGCTTATACGGTGTAGAATTGCCATTTTGAGTGATTTCTCTTGTGCAACTAAGCAACAAAAGAGGACTATGCTTACTGAAACTTCACTCAAAAAACTAAGCGAAGCCTACTTGTATACTTTAAAGAAGCTTTCAACCATCAAGAATCATGCTAGACACTGCCTTCTCTTTGAAAAAAATTGCTGCAGTTCAAAAGCGCTACATTCAATGAGAATAACCGCTACCCACTTAGCGCCAACTATAAAAGTAATTATCTTTGACATCATTATATGTGTAAAGATGAAACTTTCAGAAAATGTATAAGTAATATTACATGCATCGATTTCACTACGAATGTACAATACAACAGATAACTGGACTCTTCCGGTTATAGTTGAGCTAGTTGTCATTAATGACCAATGTGACCGGCTTCACAGTTGGATGTTATGCTCTCAAGTCGCTTCTCCAATCCACACTTGAGTGCTTCTATGATCGGGTATGTTTGAAGAGCGTACTCGCTTACTTTCCGCCAAGTAACATCACGAGTCTCGATACTCTCGATATCAATCAAACTCTATACCCGCTAAAACAACGATTGAAACACTCGTCGACAATCTGTTCATTGAACGTTGGTCGACGAAGAGCTCATTCTCGACGTACTACGCCAAGTGTGCTCCTCTCTCGTGCAAATACACATTTATTCGACAGAACAATGTTCTGTACATAGTGACGACACTGTGGGGTCTCTACGGAGGACTCACTATCGCACTCCGCCTTGTTGTACCTCGTGTCATCGGCTGGCGGCGTCAACAGCGCGTCACTGCAGTAGAACCGAGTGCACGTAAGTTTCTATATTGTATGACACTCTTACTTACGGAGCAGCTACTTTAATTCATTAAAAGCGTGGGAGCTCATACTATCTCGAGCGGTTTCAATTTTTAGCCACTCCTGCAGTCGAACGTTTCGTGTTACGTGCCGGTGGGTACGACTCCAGATCATCGAGTTGAATCTATTCGAGACAGCCAAAACTCGCACTGACTCCTTCGAACTCAATACTGCCAAAATATCGATCCGTATCTATGTCTTTCTCCTGTCTATCGATGTTGATCTTGACCATCTACGCTATGTTCAGTCTTAGAACTCAAACTTTTATCATTCACCACCCATCCCAAACGCAATATGAAGATATGCATGACAAATTTGCGAATACACTACACTGTCCATGCAGTCAAATCGTCAATCCATATGGTTCATTCATCTCATTATCTCCAGAGTTCCATCCCGTATGTTCGCACCTAAAGCATGGATCGCCTCCACATCGCACACAAACAGGCTTGATCGACTATTTGAAGTTGACGATTTCCGATATATCGGCCCGAGCTTTTTCAGCACGCTGACCACTTTGTGTTCATTCACACAAAGGAGTGTGTCTGATGCCTGGTACATCTTAAATAAGTCGTCATTCATCAGTGATAAAATATTGCCAATAACTGAATTAATGGTTCGAACCAGTGTGACACTCGAACAGTTCAAAGCAAACACAGTATTAGACTTCAAACGGGATCTTTCATTCATTCAATTTCAGTCGCAGACCTTATTTTCATTCGTGCCTTATTAATTATAATTATTCAATGTGCGTTTTGTGTTAATCTACACCTGAAATTCGCTAGTGATAGGACAAATGTACAATGAATTAACAGACCATTTTTGGGTTTACATCCTTTATTCCATCTTCGCTGGGGCGATTCCATTTGACATCTCGAACTTCTGTTTTACAGTATTCATATTTCGCTTGTGATTTAAAACCGGCAGCAACCAATCGGTTAAAGTGTGATTAAACTGGTAAAAAAACCTTGCGTTAACCGGCCGGCTGAAAAGCTCAGCCAGTAACCAGTCAACCGGCCGGTCCGGTTCTAAATCTGCCTTGCCCTGGGTCGATGTATTAATATGTTTTAAACTACATATCCTTGATGACAATTTTATGCCCTTTCAATCAGTCTGCAGATACATCCACAGATTTCAATTAATATTTTCTTAATTAATATCGCATTTTCACCCTGAAGAAAGCTTTTCTCAAATTTATGTCAAGAAAAAAGAGTATTGAAAATTAAATTTTACATACTATTGTCTCGAGAGTCAACTCTAAGCAATGCTTTCTTCATGGAGAATCAAGTTACTGTATACGATTCGATTTCCAACTAGCTGAAAATTGTGTTACTCCATTCGTTACCAGCTTAAAGTTACAGGCATTTTCCTAGAAGTCCTAAAATCGAGTACTTCATACAGCATTTAATACAACGTTTTCTCTGTATAAGAGTTACACCTGAAGTGTGTCCCAAGATTTCTAATAGCAGTTTGTCGTAGAGAATTTATTCTTTTTTTGTTTAAAAGAGGAAAAGAAACTACATGAACTGACCGGCGTCGATTTTTGAATTAGGTCTTAGTTTTTTGTCAAACTGAGGATTTTTCGAGTTTTGGAGGTTGTTGGTTGCCTGGAAAACCAATAAAGCCTTAATTGAAAAATCGGCGCCGGTCAGTTCATGTAGTTAGGTTTGTAGTTTAGAATAAAACAAACCCGAACTCTCCAGCTTGAAGTATATTAAAAAATCTTGGGACGCACTTCAGGATCGTTTTTGAACCTTGATCTCTGGAAAATTCCTAAACCGTAAGACTTGGAGTCAAGAAAATTTTTTCGTTTCTGTAACTCATTGTGCCTAACATTTATGGAAAGTTTCGTCAAGATCGGATGTACGGTGTCGAAGATAATGTCTGAGGGGCGAGTCCCTTAAGCGGCTGCTATAGCGCCCGTTGCCTGGTGTGTACGTTTATGTAGCTAGCTGCAACGGATATCGAAACTAGTGTAGCTAGCCTTCTCACGAATAGAAATTAGAATGTAGTTATAATCTTTGGTTACACACAACTAGTAACAAAAGTAAGATAAAAATATTGAATATAACCTTTGTGGTTACAGAATCAGCGTGAAAAACTACGCTGAATACATTTATGTTTAACCCCATTGACCATTTGTATGCTTTAGCGTTTGCATCGGCAGATAAATACAAAATTTTCATACAGCATTTTTCCGTTTTCTCTAGTACCATTCTGATATGAAATATTTCTCAAAGCAGGAATGAATATGGAGACCTACGTCACATTCCTTACACATATATCTGCAATTCTTTCTGTGTTGACTCCTTTTAGTTATATGTTTATAGCCATGACACTGTTTTTGAGAAGTTGTCTTTGAAGGTCTGACTAGTACCTGTGACGAGAAATTGAATTCATCACTGTTATATGAAATAACATAAATTATGGTCTTTGGTTTCTGAAAATAGACAGTTAGGACCACAATTCTATGGAGTCGTGTAATATCACATGTCCTCTACTAATAAACACAAGTTTCATATCCTCCTCTGCTATGATCGGGGATACTCAGCGATGTTCCCAATGCCCAGATCTCTGATACATGTTTAGACCGGGGCTTGTTTAGAGGGATACAGATCTTACACAAGACCGTACGTCAGGGTCCGAGTCAGCTTCCGGTAAGTTTATGTTTTTTTGCATTGCGCTAACCATTG